AATGCCTACTTTCGGAGCTCCTTGTATGCTGTTCTGTGACTCCTATTGGCTTTATTCTTCAACTCTCTTAATGAACTTACTTTAGAGCCATGTTATCAAGGAATTCATTTCAAATACTGTTGGAGATTTATATACAAACCGCTGCGCATACATATATACATATGTTCATATATTGCAGCATTCATGTAATAGCAGTTGCTGCAGCTAAATTTTGTTTATTTTTCCTTCCTAATTATTTTTCATATCTGTATAAACAAGTTTATATATAAATTTCTAGCCGTTATTGTTTTTATACTGGCACAAAGTGCTGGCTCATAACTTGGATCATATATGACTCCTAAAAGATTCATATAAGAGTAAAAAAATGTTTGTTTTTGAAACTCATATTTCTTACTTACCTAGGACTCCTTTCCGACTCATATATTCTGAGCGCTCAGAATATGTTTGCGGGGTTTGAGCAACGTATGTACATATGTATATGTAAATATTTTTTGATTTCAAAATAAATAAGAAGTCAATATAGTTTGATCGCCTTACCGAAAACTACCGCTGTGTGGTAAGGAGGGGTGGTTTTACCAGTAATTCAAACATGTTCGATAGAACATTCAGTTAAACATAATGAGATCAACTTATCCAGTTATAAGTAGGCGGTATCACGCCCGTTTTCCAAAACTCCGTAATAATGTTACTCCTTTTCAAGGGATTGTTGTTAGAATAAATTTAGAGTAAATTAGCATCCTTAAATTTCGAAATATCGAAGTTTCAAGCATTTCTGATATTTACCGTTATAAAAAGTGACCGTCATTTTAGTCCGATTTCAATAATTTTCAACGTTTTGCTTTTATGTGGCATCCACAATAATCATGCCGCGTTTGGTACAAATTGATAGAATGGTTACCGAGATACACATATGTGGTTATAATTATAAAATTTTATCATAATCGTATTTTTCGAAAACTCACATTTCTCTGAATTACCGTTATATGGTACGAGGGTGGTCTCAAAATTGCCCGGCCTAACCTAGAGATGGCGGTAGTTGTTTGAAAAATATCACTGTGTTAAAAAGTACACAATCTATAAAGCATATGTTTCAAGTTTGAAGAAGCCACGTTGTTTAGTATGTATATGCTTGGTAGCCGTCAATAGTGAACGTTTTCAGTGAATTTGTGAAAATGGAGAATATTGGTCATCGTTATGTGATACAATACTTTTATTTGAAAGGCCTCAGCCCATACAATATAAAAGCTGAAATAGATTCTAGGGGTCTGCCCCTTCGTTTACAACAGTAAAATGTTGGGTAGCAGAGTTTAAACGAGGCCGTACGAGCTGCCAAGACGAGCATCGGCGTGGTCGACCAAATGATGTGACGACTCCAGAATGGTGGAAAAATCCACAAAGCGGTCCACAAAAATCCACTTGAGCCCGTTTTTGATAATAAAAATTGTTGAATATAATAAAAGTCCCAGATAATCATTAGGTGAAAAAGTTTTTTGTCTAACGATTTTCGTCTCAGGAGACGAAAACAACTTTTCCATTGTTCACTAATAATTATACAGCAATATTTAATTTTATTTCTTAGAATCGTTATGGTCTCTGCTTAAAACAGACAACATTTGAATGAAGTAGAATGCAGTCCGACTTAATCCGGATTAACGCTGCCGTCTGTTTGAGCTTTTAGACATTTTTTTCAGGTGATAATAAAGATTCAGATATCCAATTCTTTTTTAAGAGTTTTATTTAAAATTAAAAACTAAGGTAAAAAAAATATGAAAAATCAAGGTATTGCTTTAGGTACCTGAAACTTGCACTTTAATATACTAAAAATTCTAGATAAAAAATAAAAATTTGACTAATTCTTGTGAACTTTATATAAGCATAGAAACTTTTACTTATGTGGTTTCTGTTATAGATTGAATTATATTTAAATTCAAATCATTAAAAATAAATAAATAAACATGGATTGCAAACAATAGTTGCGCTCCCCAAGTTTTCTGGGTTAAAACCTGTGAAACTGTCAAAAGGTTAAAGAAGCCAGAGACCCGAGTACGGGAACGCTTTCTGGTAAATCCCTGTAAATTCTTGCAACTTCTTGCGAGTTAGGGTACGCAACTTATGTCATTTTGAATGTTGGCGTTATTATTTTGACCGCAGCTGTATATAAACATAGCTGTTGCATTTTGATGAAGCTACCTTAGTAACTTTAGGCTTGACATTGGATTACATAAAGAGTAAGTTAGCCTATGCCGGGTACTCATTGGGGATATTGGGATCGAGTCTGGACAGGTAGCTGTTGAGGCGGCTACAGTATCCAGACCGTAATTGAGCCACGGTAACGCGGGTCTCTCTTGGCAATTGAAGCTCCGTCTCATCTACAGGTGGTGATTGGGCTCCTATTACCGCATGCATGGGTCGAGAGTCGAGGTAGGTGGTGACTGACTCTCTATGGATGTCGTTAATGGCTCGTCTGTATGTCGTCGGGTCCAGTGGTTGGTCTACATATTGCTGGACTGCGTCTGGACTGTATACGAATAGGTGCCCCCTGACGTGCCTGGGCGGAGGCTCCTCCTGAAGCAGAGGTCTGTTTGGGTGTTCGCTTTTGTGACACCCCACCAGAAATTGCTTACAAAGCAGTTTGTTGTGTTCCCTTACGGAGAGCACTTGGGCCTCGCTGTGTAGGTGGTGCTCAGGCGTCATCAGAAGGCACCCAGTCGCTGTCCGGAGTGCGGCGTTCTGACAAGTCTGTAGCTTCGTCCCGTGCGTCCAACTACTCCCCGGCGTCCAAACTGGCGCAGCATAGTTTAGAACCGGCCGGCCAATTGCCTTGTTTGTTGCCAGCAACGTTTCTTTGTCTTTGCCCCAAGTGCTGCCGGCGAGCGACTTGAGGACCTTGTTGCGACTCTGTACTTTATTGACAACTGCGGTTGTGTGCGTGGAGTAGTAGAGCAGGCTATCGAAGGTGACCCCTAAAATTTTCGGGTTGTTTAGAGTCGGTATTGGTGTGGCATCGACGTGTATACCTAATTCTAGCCTGACCTCCTTCGTCCAAGTGGTGAAGAGGGTCGCCGTTGATTTCGTTGGGGAGAGTGTTAGGCTCCTTGCAGTGAAGAAGCGAGAAAGGCTGGAGAGATAGTCGTTCATTTTTGAGCAGAGGTCATGAATTCCATTCCCGGACGCCAAAATCGAGCAATCGTCAGCGTATGAGATCAGGGAAACTCCCTCAGGTGCTTGAGGAACGAGATGTAGAAGTTAAATAGTAAGGGGGAGAGAACACCACCTTGTGGAACCCCTTGTTTAATCCTTCTTGGTTTCGAAGTTTGATCTCGGAAGATTGCTGACGACTGTCAACCACTCATATAATTCGCCGACCATCGCTTCAGTCCCTGTGGGAGTGAGGAGGCCTCGATGTCTTCTAGTAGCGTGGAATGGCAGACGGGGTCAAACGCCTTTGACAAGTCCAGCGCTACTAGGCTCTCACAGGGGCGGTTTCGATTTAGGCCACGAGTTTTTTGGGTTTATGGCGTTAAGTGCTGTTGTTGTGCTGTGCACTTTACGGAATCCGTGCTGGTGCTTCGCTGGGGTCAGGTGGCAAGTGAAGTATGGGAGTAGAAGGGCCTCAAGCGTCTTCGCGACCGGGGAAAGGAGCGTTATCGGGCGATAAGAGTCTCCTTTGTTTGGCGGGCTTCCCGGCTTCAGCAGTGGGACCACTCTCCCTGATTTCCACACATCAGGAATGATGAGAGTGGCCATGGACAGGTTGAGGAGCTCCGTTAGGTAAGCTACTCCCTTAGGCCCTAAATGTTTTAGCATCAGCATACAGATTCCGTCGCGTCCAATGGATTTGGAGGCTTTCGCCTTCCCGATAGCCCCCTTCACTTCACAACTGGTGAAAACAAGTGGTGCACTGTTTTTTGGCAGCTTGTGCAGCCTCCTGGTCACTTGACGTTTGGCCCTGTCTACCGAAGGATGCAGTGTGAATTGCCTACTGAAGTAGGTTGCGCATTTCTTCGGGTCCGACGAAGCGCGACCTTCGGTTGGGAGGTTTGCTGCTGCCCAGAGGAGCTTCTCGGAGCCGTGCAGGCTCCACGGATGTTGGGTGCGTTGCGCGAGCGGGTAGCCGTGGAGGCTGATTGTGCCGTTTGACTTGAGTAGCAGGGAGCCACATTGCTTATGTTCAACTCCCGATGAGACCTAAGACCAGAGCAGTTTCTTAGGTGACTCCATCCGTTGCATGAATTGCACCTAACCGAAGTGAAGTTCGGATGGAGACGATTCTGGCAAACGCAGCAGAAATATGTTTCTGGTCCGGGGTTGGGCTCTACGCCCGACCGGAGAAGAAGGGTGCGGAGCAATCCGGCTGCAAGGAGTTGCTCCACGGACGAACAATGATTGAAGGGTATCGCCGATCTAAGCGGGGTTAGGTCGCCGAAACAACAGCCCTTGATCGGGTAAAACCCGAGTCATTCCGGTACGTAGAACCGGCTGGCTTGGGAATGCATTGATTTTTAATATTTTTTTTTTTTGCTGACGCTGCTAGGCATTGCCTTCCATATAAAAATAAATTTTGAACATGGTCGAGCACACTTTATATGGAAGAAAATGCACAACACCGCCACAACACCAACACCGTGTGTTATGTATTGCGCTAGACGTTTATACGAATATGTATATTAAACATCGAATAAACGAAGTAATGTAGCCAAAACTGGTCAAAGTAAAAAGTTTCTATTATTTCTTCCCCCACTGTATGTACATATATACATTGTGTATACATACAACGGATATGCCACAAACATATACATACATACAAGCAATAATGAAACAAAAGTTGATGACGATAACAAAAATATTTTCACACATTTGTAATTAAATCAACGTTAAAACAGTAGCACGTCCAGCAGAAATGAAAAAGTCGTAATAAGAACAAAAGGGGCGTAGCGGCAATGGCATCCTCTTTCGATTTTTACAACCTCCCATTGTTGGTTATTCATTGCTCCACTTACCTAAATCGTGGTGAATCCTTGAGGCACTCCTCAAATTCTATAGTAGCACGCATCATACACGGTTAATGTTATTGCAAATCAATCAAAATAGCACCAATTTGTCCAGAAATGTCCACTTATTACACTACTAAAATTAATGGACAACTTAATTCACTCTATTCAGCTGTTGCTCATTCACGCTCGTCATCAAAATCTTTACAAATACATCCAATGATTTATCTGCGCTTATACAATTGCGATTTTCTTTTCCCCGGAGAACTTTGCATTTCATATACTTTTTACACCTATTATTTTCATTTATGCTAAATATGGAATAGTATATTAAACTGGATATTAAGTGTAAAATGGCTAGATATTCAGAAATCTCTACAAATTCCAAATAAGAAATAGATAAAACAGACACTTTCACCCAGTTGACTTTTTGCGAATTAGTTAGAGATGAGATTTAATTGATGCCATGAACGATTTCTATGATGCAGCGATGACATGTGGTCACTGATAAATGGCCGTCTTCACATGCTTGGAAATCTCGCACGCGTGCTGCTCGCAAGCGAGATAGAGTTTTGTCGACTGGCATAATTTTTCATTTGTAAAATGTCGCCAAAAAAGAAGGTTCGAGTTTTGCAGATAAGAGCCTTTTTTACAATGCATTTTTGAGTGGAACTTAAGTCTAACTTAAGATTTTGCGTTTCACCAACCACTTTTTGAGCAAATTTTAAATTCAAATTAAGTTAGACTTTAGTCGCGGCCATCAGCGACTAAGGGTCGGTTGCACCAACCTAACTTAAGTTAAACTTAATCTTAGCTAAGACCAGTTAAAGATTTTGCTATAATTTCAGTTTCACAATGCATACTTAGGGCCGGTTACTCAATGTCTGGTTAACACTAATCTGCGGTTAAACATCGTTATCGACGTTACCGACTCCCTGTTAAGGCTCTGTTATGCATACTTGGCATTGCATGCACTGCTATACCATTTTTACGTAGAAATCAAAAACCAACAGACTTCTACGTATGTAGTGCTGTGCGTTCGATAACCGATTACACGCGAGGCTCATTTAACAGATTTCTTATGTGACAGCTCTCAAGCCATGCCAAGTATGCATAACGAAGCCTTTATATGCATGGAGTCGAAGACTTGAGACATTGAGTAACCGGCCCTTAAGTATGGAAAATATTCCATTCTGAAATATAGTAGCACCGCAGCGAAATGCTTTGTTTACGTACTTTGGCATCTATCCATATCGTAAATCATCTCTTTCAGCATGCCTAATAATAGATTTGATCAGTATTTCTCGTATTAAATCTAGTAAAACTGACAAAAAATAAAAATTCGCTCAAAACGAGAGAGTAACACTGAAAAGTACCGGATCGCTTTCTAATAAAAAATTGTAACTTCAACATAACCTCCAAATTTTGCTTATTTTTTAAGTAAACACACTCAGCTCACCCATGGAAATAAACAACAAGTAATTTAATATTTTATAACATGGACTAGCAAAGTGCACTTTTCACTTGTTTACAATTTGGTTGTCAAACATACTACAGCTGTCCGTTTGAAAAATGGTACGTTCGAACCCATATGGGGTCACAAATAATATTTAATACTTCCGAATACTTCCATTTACTGTCTTCGTTGCTACTCCATCATTTAAATATACTTTTTAGAAACTCTTAATTTTTCACAATTATTTTATTTCGACCTTCACAGTATTTTTTTGCAATTTATAATCAGCTGTTGGAAAAGAAAAGTAGAACTTAAGTCGCCAATATTCTCGACTTAAGATGAACTTAAGTTTTTGTTGGAAAAGTGGTTGATGAAACGCAGCATCTTAGCCTAGACTTAAGTTCAACTTAAAAATGCATTGTAATACCGGCCCTAAAAGTAAACTAAGTCGACAAGACATCTTATTTATCAAACAGATACTTATGACAAATTTTGATTGAGAAGCAAAACAATTTGTCGGAAAAATAAAATAAAGGTACAAATGGATTTTCATTTGAGTTGGGAAGATGATAGTGATTCGGAATACGAGGAGGCACACCAGCAAATCAATTTCATTTGGACCGAAATTTATTATGCTCTTATTATTTAATATAAAGTTCAATATTATATAATTCTTCTGCCAAGCTGTCCCATACGAAAACCGTGCAATCTGTGAACTTTGCAAGGGCTTTGGAAGACTCAGAGAAAACCCCTATTACAATTAAATAAATAAACAACTTTGTGCTAATGTTTCAGTTAATACATCACAAATGTAAAAAAGGTACTCCATTTATTTGCGTGAAATGTATCTCAAAACAAAGTGCGGAAAGTGTTTCTTGCAAATAACTCTTTAATTTACTAAAAAGTTAAATTTCCGCTCTCGGTCTATTATTATTGGCGTTAAGACGCGTCGATTGATACCACTCATGAACTTTTCGTAAATTTTTGCCGTGTCAAGCTAAAGTCCACAACTACCAACAGGTGTTTACCGTGCAGTCTGTGCATACCGTGCACCTGGCAGGCCCTTTGCAAGACTTCGAGAATACCCCTATTGTCTAATTATTTTTGAAATTTCTTCAAATAACTTTTCAACAAGTTGGTAACATCGCGGTAATTTGTTCTTGCCCTTTTCGCAAAGGAAACATTGCATTTGTTTTATTTTTCGTCTCGCGAAAATGCAGTGAAATCTATTGTCTACAAAAAATAAACAAATTAAAATAAACAGTTCTTTGCAACAACGGCAAATATCTTACAGCAAAGAAAGTGCTGTTTTGCACCCGTATACAGTTTATAAAATAAACAAAATACATGGTACATACATGCTGAAGTGCAATATTCAGAACAAGTTTAAAATTTAGTTAATTTGCGTTGGCGGTGATCCATTACAAAGTAGGTATGCCTTGGTAGAAGCAATAATTGTACGGAAAAGCACTTATATTTTATCTTTGTACATAAGGGAAAACCTTTAGAACACAAAAGAAAAACTACGGTAAATGCCTGAAACCCAGTGAGTTCAGCGTCCTCAGTGCCCTTTGTTAATTGTTTCCGTTTGTGTGCTCTCTTGATCGGTTGCGTGCTTCAGCTATTTGCTTTGTAAATTTTTTTCGGCCAATTATACTATCCACACTCTCGCGTGTTTTGCTGCTTTCTGTTTTACCTTCATTTGCATATTTTATGTAAAACTATATACGTCACGCATTCAATTAGAAGTAAAGTAAAAAGAAAAAATCATCAGTGGCTATTAGCGCCTCCAGTGTAAATATCTGTATTCATAGTTTATTCAGACTATTCTGGAAGCAGGGCAACGAACTAGCCACTGCTAACAGCGAATTTTCCTGCACATACGCCTCCCCGTGCTTCGCAACTGTGGCCCAACAGCCATCAAAGGCCCAAAAGTATGTGGAAGTGTCACAAGTGTGGAAAGCCTGTCTACTTCGGTAAGCAAGGGCAACATGTTTGCTTTCTTTGTTCTTAAATCGAAAGCCGGTCTTTCAATTGAGTCTAATTAAAATATTGTAAATTCTCCTAGCGGAGCGCAAGCAATCGCTTGGTTATGATTGGCATCCAGAATGTTTACGGTGCGAGGAGTGTGGAAAGCGACTGAATCCAGGTCAACATGCCGAGGTAGGTGTTTTTTATTGTTTAACAACGAAAAAGTATATTTCTCAATTCTATGTCCAGCATAAAGGAGTGCCTTACTGTCATGTGCCATGTTACGGCGCGCTCTTCGGACCGCAGTTGTTTGGACATGGCACACGTGTGGAATCACATAAGAGCTATGGCGTAAAGGGAACACAGCGATCCGGTATTGGTATTGGAGGGCCAGTTTTACCCAGAGATCATTTAGAAAGCAAGTTAAAGGTACTCAGCCATAAAAATAAAACTGCAATAAACGATTTTTTTTTACACTTATGCATCTCTAATTCCGTTTAGGTCTACAACCAATTCTATGACAATAAAAGCATGGAAATACGGAGTCGAGAAGTGAATAACCGATTAATTCTTGAAGGCGCACTGCGTGTTTCCTGGGGCGTACACGGCGTGATACATCTTAAAGAAGATGATGATCAGCGTATGATTGTTGTACGCAAACGAAATTCCAAGCGCATATCTAAGGCAGCTGAAGTAAGTTGTGGATATAAATATGTATTGGAATTGATTTTCCATTTTCAACTTTAGGATAGTCCATCGGATAAGGAAAACGATGTTAGTGAATCATTGGGAGCGCCCACTACCACAAGTGAGGTAGAGAACCTCTCAACTGATATTTCATTGTCAGAGAGCATGACTTTTGATTCCTGCAGTTTAAATGAGTATCCGTTGACGGACCTACCCACAACACCAGAGGAAGCTTCCGCAAACACAACCGGCACAACGGACGGGGCAGCGGTGCCTTTGATAAATGGCGCCAATGGAAGTGCCAATGATGAAAAATCGGAGTCGACAAGTACCCTGTGCGGCACCGATACGACCATTACAACTGCATCCACAAGCTGCGTTTCTACAACTTTGCCTTCAAAATTGGATAATTTGGACAAATTAGAATGGGATGAAATAGATGATCTGCTGCAGGTAAGGAATTCAGTCTTGTACACATTTCCGTCCAGAAAAGTACTTTACAAGAGTCCGAATGTAGCTGCAAGCAGTTAGGTTTATTCTCTTCGAACCGCTTAGTACTAATGCAACGGAACTTTTTAAACTATTCATACAATTACTATACTCAATATTTGTACATATTTTTAAGGTTGAACGCCGCATTAGCGAAAAGGACAAAATTTACGAAACGATGCCCGTCAAATTGCCATCGTCGCAAACGTCTTCCAGTGAAAGCTCGCCATCAAAAACTATTTCAGCTCATAATCTCACCGAAAGCACAAATACCACCAGTGAAGTGCCATCCCCATCAACTCCCACGTCTGCTTCTACAACCAACAATAACAGCAATAGCAACAGCGAGGGCAGTAGCACATCTTCAGACAATTTTGTTACTGCCACCTCGGCGACAATAAATTCATCTATTTCGGGCACTACCAGCACAACTACAACAACAACGGTGGATAATTTTGAGTCCTCTGATGATGCTACTCTTAAGCCAATGGATTATGAGGAATTTAAGCGTAGTGTTCATCTTGATTATGTGAATGGAGCCAACTCATTTCGTGATCCCAACGAGGACTCGCTAAAACGCAACCAACCAATCGATCCGTCAAGGATACACGATTCCCTCAAGCTATATGGCGAAAGTGCAATGAGCAAAAGTTTCAACTGTGAACATGCATTACGCTCAATCGATGCTAATTTAATTAACGATACTCTTCATTTGAAGAGCGGCACTGCCAGTCCACATTCGATTCAGCGAATGTATGCCTTGCAGAAAAGTGGCTCAGCCTCCACAGCCACTGGCGGAAATCATCAAAATCTATCGCCATACCATCAACGATATCAAAACTTCGACAA